CTGACCACTGCGGCGCCTCGGCCAGGGCCTCCGGTCCCCCCTCAGTCTGCCCTCCCGGCGGCTCCCCCAGGCCCCCACCCGGCTCTCTGGCTGGCTGGCAGGAGGAGGAGGGAGGGGAGTATGGGCGTGGAGGGGCCTCGCTGCGTCGGCGGTGGCGTCAGCGGCTGCCGCGGCGTGATTGGCCTCCCGCCTTGGCTCCCAACCACAGGAATGCCTGGGCCCCACCCTCTGACTGGAGGAGGTGGGGGGGCAGTGAAGGCCCCCAGATGCTGACATCTGGGGCTGCCAGCCCACCCGAGCCTGGACAACAGAGATGGAGGCTGTTTCCCCTTCCACTCTGTCCCTGCAGGCTGTGGGGCATCCTAGGTCCCGCCCTGCCATCCTCTGTAGCTGCCCTCACCTCAACCTTGGGGGGCTGTACAGGCAGGGCCTTTGGGACTTGGAGTCCGCCGTCCACTTCTCTGAGCCCTCTCCCTCCCCAGAAAGAGCAAAGGGACAATCGAGGTCAGGGGTGGAGGTTCCCAGAGGGGCATCGTGCCAGGCACGGCACTGTGATTACAGTGATTACAAGAGAGCGTCCTAGACAGAAGTCAACTTGGCAGCTCCCAGGGCCAACCCGGGGGCCATGACCTCAGGACATGTGGGCTGCCGTCTGCCTGGGACCCATGAGACCAGAGAAGTGGGCACTGGGCAGAGAGGACCACCTGGGCTCTGGGCACGGAGAGGGAGCCAGCTTGTGAGCGTGTGAACCTGTGTGTATAAATGGGCATACCTGTGAGTTCAAGGCAAGGTTCAAGCCATGCCTACAGGCCACGCTCCTTGCCTGGTGGGCTGGGTACTGTCTACTAGTGTGCTGAGGTGTCCAGAAGGGAGGACGTTCAGACCACACACCATAATCATATAAACCCTGGATGCTGTGACACTGGTGAGCACATGTGCTGATGTCTGCAGGCACATGTTGTGATAAGTGGTGCGGATATCTATGTCGCGGCAGTGAGGCCCAAATGTTCACACTGTGTTGCACTGCGTAGAGCCCAGAGGCTGGTGAGCGTATTGCCAGATTTTGGTGCTTGCAGGTGTGCCTGGGGTTGTCTGTGGCATGTGCCTGGCTGCATGTGTGCCGTGGCATGAGATGTGAAGGGTAGGACTGTGGGTTGTGTTGTGCGGCTGTGCATCTGGTGTGTTCTGCATATGTACTGAGTGGTACATGTGACAAGGGCTGGGATGCGTGCACTGGGTAGTTCTGGTATGTGCTGTGTGTGTGTGTGTGTGTGTGTGTGTGTACACACCCACCAGAGATACACTCATTCAGGGTCTGGCAGGGAGGGGGTACAGGAAACAGGCAGGAACTGACGAGAACCGGAGAACATGCCAATCTGGCAGGGCCCGTTGGGCCATTCTCCCTCCAGATACTCTGGCAGGAATCCTGCCTGCCAAGGTCTGCACCTCCCTCTCCCAGTGCAGAGCAGCCCTGAGTGAAGCAACAGCCAGCAGGGGCCCAGGGATGGGCCCAGCATCCCGACTGGGCAAGGCTGGCCCGTGCCACCACCCACACTCCCTTCTCTGCCTCCCAGCGGGGCAAGTGCGAGAGCTAAGGAGGGCTGTGTGCTGCCCACAGGGCTCCTCTACTCACAGCAGGGGCAGAACTCACCAGCTGGAGGATGTCCTCATCCTTGGGCATGATGGATAGCTCCAGAGTGTCGTCGCTAGAGACAGGGCAGAACGTCAGGCCCGCTGGGGCCAAGGGAGCAGACCATGCAGGGACGAGGGGGTGTGAGCCATCCCAGGAGGAGGGTGCTCACCTGTTCTGGATCAGAGCTATGACCTGGGAGTAGGTCTTCCCTATGACGCTCTCCCCATTCACCTTCACCAGCCGGTCTCCTAGGGACACAGGGCGGCGCCACGCGTCAGTAGGCCAAGGGGTGTCAACGGCCCGACCTGAGAAGCCCTGCACCAGGTGGGGATGACACTGGCGGGACATCTGGATCCAAGAACCCCATCCTAACCAGAAGGACAGAAGCAGGACCCCAGAGGGGTGCTGCAAGCAGGGCCCTGGGGCAGCTCACCCGTGCGAAGCCCCGCCCTGTGGGCAGGGCCATCATCCTTCACGTTCTTGACAAAGATGGTGTCCATGGGCTCCAGGCGGTGCCGGGGGGAGGGTCCTGGTGGGCAGCAGCCAGGTTAGCTGGGGGTGGCTGCAGAAGGTCGCACCCATGCACAGCTACACACACAGGGGACACACACTCAGAGAATGATCACTCACCCAGAGACAAACACACACAGGCCCACACACCCACGGCAACACTGCGAACAGACCCACGGATGCAGAGACCAGACAGGAGGACACATGCCTGGGAAAACGAAAACCTACAGGGACAGAGACAGTCACCTGTGAATGCCTATTGAGTCTCGTCATGTGCTAGAAACTAGACTAAAAAGGGCAAACAGACACGGTCTGCTGGGCGTGGTGGCTCACGCCCATAAAACTAGGATGTGGGGAGACTGAGGCAGGAGGACTGCTTGAACCCAGGAGTTTGAGACCAGCCTGGACAACATGGGGAGACTCTGTCTCTACAAAATTAAAAAAAATTAGCCGGATGTGGTAGCACAAGGCTGTGGTCCCAGCTACTCAAGAGGCTGAGACAGAAGGATTGCCTTAGCCCAGGAGGCTGAGGCTGTGCCGAGCCGTGACTGTGCCACTGCACTCCAGTCTGGGTGACAGAGTGAGACCCTGACTCAAAATAAATAAAGAAAAATTTAAGAAATTAAAAAAGACACAGTTCTTGCTCTTCCAGAGCTCACTGTGCAGTGGGGAGACAGATTCTCACACATGTGTGCACACAAGTCACAGACCAAGGAAAGGGCACCACACAAGAAGTCCATGTCAAGTTCTGAAGACACCTGGCAGGGAGGATGTCCACACCCAAGTGCCTGGCAGGACAACCAGCACTCACATCTCCTCCCCACCCCCTTCCTCAGGCTCAGGGAGCTCTAAGTAGAGGTCTGAGGACCCCAGGATGGGTACAAATTGTGTTACACCCCAACAATATCCCTCTGCTGCTGTGTCCATCAGAGAAACAGGCCTATTCTAGCTGACTCCTCCCCCACCACAGCCTCTGGGGTGGGGGCCCAGGGAGACAGTGTTACCATGGCTGCCCAGCAGAAGGCTGGTGGCAAGGCAGGAAGGAGCTCTGTCTTGAATACCCTGGGGCCTGGGTGCCAGCAGAGACCCCGAGGGGCAGCCAGGTCCACAGCAGGGGGAGTCAGGCTCCCATCTTACGGGAAAAAGACCTCCAGGCCCCCGACTCCCACCAGGATCTCCCTGTCTCTACCCCCAAGAACAGCCCTTGCTTGGTGCCCAGGACCTGTAGTCCTGCCTCTGCCTTGGCGCAGGCTGGCAGCGGCTCAAGGGCAGGGCCCAGACCCAGACACTTATCTGCACCCCAGAGCGCCCACAGTGTGACATGAGCAGGCCCGGAGGGACAAAGATGTGAGAAAGGAAAGGCGGAGGACGGGGACATGGTGAGAAGGAGGAGGAAATGCCCAGGGAGACCAAACTGGGAACACAGAGAAGAGCGGAGACAGGAACAGGGGTCAGGGGCACAGAAGCACACAGGCCGCTTGTGGGAGAGGGAGAGAAAGGAGCCAGCCCCCCACGCCTCACTCACCTCCTCCGCGGCCTCCATTCTCCTCCTCCTGCAGGGAACAGAGAGGGCCGTGGGCCTCAGTCCAACCCTCACAGCTGGGCGGGAACCCCTCAGGTTCCTGCCACCCCCTATCTCCTCCCAGCTAGCCCAGCACATGGGGGGGCAGTGAGAGGGGAGGTGTCTTGGGGAAACCAAGTCCTAGGCAAACTTCCCTAGTCACATGCACTCCCCTCTCACCCTTTCTAATCCCAGCATCCCAGCTGTCTGGGAACCCCCGATCCAACAGGGGACCCACAAGCCCTTCCCTCAGGGAGCTCCCAGCCCGATGGAAGAGGAGCTGCCACACACACTCACACACAGAAGGCCCAGGCAGACTGAGATAAGCACAGGACACTGCAACTGCACTATCAGCTCTCAGAGAATGTGGAAGGGAGGCCCAACCGGTGTCCTCTGGGGGAGGGGACACAGGCAAATTGGAGGGTGGCAGGGAGAAGGATTCTGGGTGAGGGGACCAAGCTGCAGTTACTTGGTGGCAGGGGTCAAGCACATGCAGGGCTGGACCCGCCGAGGTCAAGGAGGTCAAACAGCACGCAACGCTCAGAGGAAAGCTTCAGGCTCGCAAGGAGAGAACAAGGAAGCCAGTGAAGGTTCTTTGGTGGAAAATAGTGAATGTAGCAAGATCAGTTAGGGGAGAGGGTTCTGGCAGCCAGGGCAAGGGGCCGAGGAGGCCCACTGGGAAGGCCCTGGGATCACCAGGTGAGGGGAGGGGTGCTGCATTTGGGGAGAAACTAGGAAGGAGGGAAGGAGGTCAGAGAGAAAGATGCGCCAGCAGGACGTGGCGATTTCGAGCTGGATGGGGCTTTCAGCGTCACCTGGTCTAACCCTCTCCACAAACATCCATCTTATAGATCACAGGGTGTGACCTGTCCAAAGCCACTCAAAGACTCAACAGCAGAGCCAGGACTGGAACCCAGGACTCTGTGGCACCCAACAAGGACAGGGTGGGCCCTGGGAAGGCCGTGGGCACTGCTGGGAGCGGCCCTCAGCCCCTCCTCCTATGTGGGGTGTGCCCACTGATGTGAGCTGACAGGGCGAGCGGGTGGCAGAGGCAGACAGATGCGACTGGACGGCTGAGCTCCCTGCAGGCTCCCAGGCAGCAGCAGGAAGGACAGGAGGACTCAGCAGAGCTCACCCTCCTCCTACCTCCAGGCCACGGGTCCCGCCAGGCCTGGGCAGGTTCCAGAAAGGGGACACAGCGTGTCCCTGGCTCACCCTGCCTGGGTCTCCCAGCTCCCCTTGTGAGCCAGGACTTCCACACAGCCCGGACCCCTCATGACGCTGCCACCCAACCCCGCAGGGTTCCCTGAAGGAAGGTGGCAGGGCCCAAGGAGGGCCACTCCAAGGGAGGAGGGAAGGAAGGCCTGGGGTTCCAGGGAACAAGGGGGCTGGTGTCCTTGGGCATGGGGGTAGGGTCCCCTCCCCACGCATTCCTAAGCACAGCTGCAGCCGATGAGAACAGTTACGCTGGCACCAATAGGCCTATGAGAGCGGCAGTCAAATGTCCACATGACGCGCGTTTACAGACACCATATGCACACATGCAAAAATGCACATTTGCATGTCCATGTCTGGCACATGTGCACACGGAGAGACATTCGAGCACACAGACAGAGACGGTGAAATCCTACATTTGGCTCTCTGGCAGGTGGGGCCAAGGTCCCCAAAGGAGAGTCCCCAACAACTGTGCAGGCTGATCCCACCCTGAGGGGAGTGGGTAAGAAGGGTTCACTGATGCCAGAAGAAATGTTTCCTTTGCCGGAAGAGAGCGGGCACAGGAGCAGGGCCCGCACAGGGAGCCCCAGTGGCCCCCTGGGTCCTGTCTCCTTCCCAAACTCCTGCTTTGCTGCCAGGGACCCTTCCCGCAGTCCACAGCCTTGGTTGGGCTTGAGACCTCCGGCTCCTGGACTCAGAGAACCTGACATTTATATTAGGGTGGAAAAGATCCTTAGAGACTTGATGCCTAAGGTTACAGCAGGAGAAATGGAGCCCAGTGAGTGAGAGATGGCCCCAAATCCACCGAGAGTGGGGCGTCGTCCCGGGACGAGAACACCAGACTCCTGCATCCCAGCCCAGGGCTCCTTCCAGCACACGGAGCTGTGGCCAGCATGGGCCCGGGCACTCTGGGCGGGTCCCACGGGTGTGTGAGGACAGCCTCCCTGAGAACTTGGACTTGGAGGGGTGGCTGACCCCACTAAGAAGCAGCTGATGGCCCGGGGTCCCAGGGACTCCATCTCTCCCAAGACGGCAGTTCCCCTTCCAAAGACCAAGTGTCTAGGGTGGGAAGCAAGCCTCCTGGTTCCTCAGCTCCAGGTGCCTTGCCCTGAAGACCCCAGCCCTCCCCTCTCCCTGAGAAGGCCCCATCCCCGGTGAGTAGGGGGTTTCATCCACGGTCGTGTAGTACAGATGACCCAGCCAGGGCCAACACCGCCTCCCTGCAGCTCTCCTCCCCAGCCACCACAGAAGGGCGTGAGCTTGGACCCCAGGAAGGACTACTTCTCCAAGCAGGTCGCAGGACCATGGAGGGGACTGATGCAGAGAGGTCCCACAGAAGCTTCCCTGGTGGCCAGGTCAGTGGCGCCTGGGGTGTACCTTCAGGCTGCAGTGCACGGCCGACTCAGGCGGGTACACGATGAAGTGGCGCAGGGTGAAGCCAAAGCCGTCCTGGAGATTCTTGCGCAGCAGCAGCGTCCTCGGCCCCTGCCAGGGGAGGGGGCGCCTCGGCGAGCACCCATCTCTCGGGCCCAGCGGCAGCTGCAGGAGACCGGGACAGGCTGAGTGCCTGCGCGGCCGGCACACCCGGCTCTGCCTACAGCCTCCCCGCCTGGGATCCGGTGGCAGTGGAAGGGCCTGCCGCCCTGGGGTGCCAGGCAGCCTCCCTGCCCCAGCCTCCCCCTCACTCCCCTTCCTCTCCCCGTTTCAACAACCTGACAGTTCTTCCTTCTCTTTCTCCCCCTCAATCCCCTCAGGATGCCTTTGCCGCCGGGGAAATCACTCATGACAGGGAGCTCCTTCAGGTCAGCTCAGCGGAGGCTCACTGAGCACCTACTGCGCGCCAGGCACTGGACACACAGCCTCCTGCCCAGGGCGTGCCTGTCACTGTCTTAGCTCACACACGCGCACGTGTGCACACACAGGCACACACTTATGCAGACACACACATCCACGTGCACTCACGCAGACAGAACACACTACAAACATGCAGACAAGCACGTGTGCAAACATGCACACAGGCAGACACAGATGCACACGCATGCACAAGTACACATGTGCACACTGATGAAGACACACAGACGTACACACAGTGGCATATAACCAGAGTCTATGCACACACAGACTGGCACACACACATCCTTCAGGAGCAGGGGGAGAACACATATGGGGAACCCAAAGCCACGTGGGCGCCAACTGGACCTCAGATGACCAAAGGGACTTCCCGAGGCTCGAGAGTCCCACTCTGAAGCCTGGCTGCCTCCCCAGAAAGGCTGGTGGAGGGACTGGGTGCAGAGGGAAGACACCCACCCGTTCTGGGCTCCCACTTCACTACTAAGGTTCCTTCGTGTCGTCTTCTAATAGCTGGATGAAGCTTAGAAACACTCGCCCCTCAAATGTCCCGAGACTGAGAAACCATGCACGTATGCACCCGCCCTCCTGACCATAGGAGGGGAGCCAGCAAATGTGCCCAGCCCTCTGCTAGGGATCGTCTGGGCTGCCACTGAGCAGGCCTGGGAAAGAGGATTGATTCTCAAATCTCAGAAGATTAAAGAAAAATGTGATACCAACCAGGCAATGTGGCAAGAACTCATCCCTACTATATATATATATACATATATATATATATATATATTTTTTTTTTTTTTAAACTAGCCAGGTGTGGTGGTGGGCGCCTGTAACCCCAGCTACGCGGCAGGATAGGCGGGATGATCACCTGAGCCTAGCAGGTCAGGTGAGCCATAATCATGCTACTGCACTCCAGCTTGAGCAACAGAGTAAGCCTCCGACTCAAAAAAAAAGAGAAAGAAAGAGGAAATATGACAGAGGCAATAGGCCTGCTTAACACAGCCCAGAGGTCAGAGCCAGGTGAAACACACAGGAGGCTGAGTGGACTTCCAGCCAGCAAGACCGTTCTCACCCTGCACAGTCTGGAAAACCATCCAGATGAGGCTGGGTGCTCCCGTCCTGGAGGGGCCAGGCAAAAGCTGGAAGACCCACCGTCCGGGAGCCTGGGCAGGTGTTCTGGCGTCAGGGGAGTCCAGCGGTGCTCCCAGGTTCCCTCCCTGTCCTTCGAGTCCAGACCCTCCCACTGAGCCCACACCCCCACGGCGGCCTGGGAGCCCAGAGAAGAAAATTCTCTGGGAATTCTGCTGAGGCCTGAAATCCCCTGGATTTCCTATCTCTGCTGACCTGGCAAGGAACTGATCAGGGAGCAAAGAGGGTCGGGGGACCCCCCAGGGCCCTGCCCGGCCAGAAGTCCCTGCTCCTCCCCAGTGTGGGCTGCCCCCCACTCAGGCTTGGAGCGAGGCTGTTCACGGACCCATTGTTTTGCTGGTGTCCTGGATTAAGGTTTAAGCCA